CATGGTGAGAAAAAATTCCATTCGTACGAACTGATTGCTACTTCGTACGTACAGAAGCATCTTCTCATCGGTTGAAAAGAGCCATACTGGTATATAGTAGAAAGCGTTGTTTTGTTTGTAGGGCCGGACACGTACACAGCTCATGTTGCTCATTGTCATTCGGGAACCAGCAAAGTGGAGTTCCTCCCAAAGGAGACTCCGTTGTTTAGGAAATCGCCAGCGGCGTTGCGGGGGGGGGGGGCTTGGTGGGCGCACGCACCCCCGGCAGGAAAAATAGTCGTCCCCTCCCACTTGCATATTATTATTATTATTTATTTCTGACAATGTCAAGGGTTGTGGTAGAGACAGTGCAGTCAATCTTAAACCACTTCCAGATAAAATAAACAGAACGAGTAGATGTTAAACAATATAAAAAATATAACCACAAAAATGATTACTAAGAGGACAAATCAGAAAAAGATATAAAATTAGCAAAGGAAAGGAACGGAAACAAAAGTAATGATAGAAACGCGTTGAATTTAAAAAAAAATAAAACGAAAAATGAATAGAGTATTACCAGAAGGTAGTGAAAATGAGGAAAATTATTTAATTAAGATATGCCACATTCTAGGGTAAACTGTAAAAATATTTAAAGTTTGCATAAGAAAAAGGAAAAATATCAAACAACGACAGAGTTATATAATGGTAGAAAGCAAGATAAAACAAACATCGAATAACGAGTGAAAAATTCAAAGAGAGAGCTTTCGAACATATTTAAAGATGTAGACTGGATCGCATGTTCAGGTAGACTATTCCCCATCATTCGCTGTACGGACGAGAAAGGAATATTTCAAACAGAGTAGTTTAAGACTGTTATCATTTTGCCGAAGTCTCACGGTTGAATGAAACTTATTTATGGCATTAATGTCGGTAAGGCCATTAAGAATTTTCAAACACGTAACCAAACGGAAGGACTTTCTTCTGGTTCGGATATCAGTCCAGCCTAAAGGATTAATCATAGTGTTATATTTAGTATGCTAGTCTTTACAAATAAATCTGACACTCTGGTTTTGAACACGTTCTACAATTTAAGAATGATTAAGCCTACATGGATCCCAGGCTATACAAGAGTAATCCAGCCGAGATCGGATAAGAGAGATATAAAATTTCTTCAAGATAGCGGAAATTTACTAAAATTTCGTTTCATAAGGCCTAGTGTTCTGATGGACTTAATGTAAATGTTGTGACAGTGCTCACTCCAATTTAAATTACCATTTAACACGACTCCTATACCCTTCACAGGAATTAGCAGTTAAAACTGACCATTTAAAGAGTAAATAAAGTCGGCCTGTAACACATCACTGTCACCATCAGGATTGATGGGCCGATATAAAACACAGTCATTTGCATATAAGCGAAAAGCAGACCGAATATTCTTAGATGTGCCATAATTGTTGATAAATCAGAGGAACAATATCGGGTCGAGAATGGTTCCCTGAGGTACATCAGATTCTACCCTGGTCCAGAACGAGAATTTCCACTTATATGTACTCTCGGTTCTCTCACTTAAGGAAATTCATGATCCATTTAATATTAGGACCACAAACATTATAAGTAGTAAGTTTGTTATGTAAAATGTCATTAAGAACTCTGTGAAAAGCTTCAGCAAAGTCCGAGAAGATAATATCGACACTGTTCCCAGCATCCAAGCTGCTGCTCCAGTCATTGATGGCATCTATCAGTTGCGTTTCACAAGAACGTTTGGCCTAAAACAGTGTTGATTTTCGTCAAAAATATTGTTGTTATTGAGGTGACCAATAAGATTATTCTATCAAGGGTTTTCTCACAACTCATGTGAGTGAGATAGGCCTATAACTGCTGGGATCGTCCCCTTTGCCCTTTAGAAACACAGGGACAACGTGAGCCCTTCGCCAATCCTCAGGTATAAATCCTGTTCGTTAAGAAGCATTAAACAATTTAAATAGTGAGGGTGCAAGGTATTCTGCTCCCACTTTTAGGATTCTGGGAGAAATGTTTTCTGGACCTTGACTTTTACTGATATCGATGTCTTTGAGTAATTGACACACTTCATAAGGAGTACATGTAATATCCTCCATGATGTTAGCATCGAAGTCACTATCAGAAATGGGTTCCTCTTAGCCAGCATGCATGTTAAACACAGAATAAAACTGGGCTTTCCTGATGTGATCACGATTATGCACATGTATATGTCCAAGATGCAGTCAGCTCCCCCCCCCACACACACGCACACTTTAGCGTGAAGCCCCCGCCCCCCCCCGTGCAATCCTGGCTTATGCCGCTGGAAATCGCACCCTCTCTTGGTCCTGCACGGGCCCAATTAGCTGAAGGTTAGTCATGCAATGCAACTTGTAGATAACCAATCTGTCAATACGGTTCAGTGATCCGTAGGTACAATACTCCGTACCTACGAAATAGTGCAGTCGAATATTAGTTTACCCAGAGCGGTGGCGTAAAATTGTTTCCGGGATTTTCGCAAAGGAAATGACTGGTTACTTGGCGTGCAGTTAACAGTGGATATGAAATTGCGCTAAGAGGAAGGCCCCATTAAGACAAAACTAAACCATGGAAAACGAAACAAACACCTGCCATTTTTTATGAGCAATTGTTTATCACCTTTGAAAATGGAACGATACTGTCATGTGAGTGAAAATACTCAAAACACGTTTAGAAGCCAAGCCAAGGTTAGTATTTATCGAACAGTTTCCCTATCACCTTTAGGCCTACACAGTAATAACAAAGTGCGTAGGAGGGATATGAAATATAACATAGCACGAAGTGAAACAGAGTATATTAGTCATTGTAATAGTCCGAGCACGTGTATGGCCTTCCAAATCAAAGTTTGAAAAGAAAAGTTTGTGTTAAGTTTGGGGACAGTATTCTGCTAAGCTAAAGCACATTATAAAGGTTCATTGTCCCTGTTCTTTGCTAT